CCCCAAAACCCCAAAACCCCTTCAGATGAAATGATAGGAGAGTAAAGAGAGGACTAAAATTAAAGTTATTACTAAATAATTATTAACATAATGCAACAACATAGAAGTCAAGTCTAAACTGCAACAACCACGCCATTATTAAGATACTCTAGATCTCAAATTATAAATGATTTCAGCCCAAACAAAATTAAAGATAGAATAAAGGTACCACTAGAATCAAGACGAAGGATAAAAGAGATGCAAGAATAAATGAGATTGTATATGAAAAGCGCTCTATCTGAGTAAACAATAACTAAAAACTTTAGAAAGGATTTCATTAACAGTAAATCAATTAACATGCTTATCAGAGATGATCAGATGCCATAGCTTAACCTAAATTTCATTAAGCAAGACAGCGAAGAAAGTCTTAAATTTAAGGAAAGTCTACTAGCTACCTTCTAGATGCATGACTCATATGAGTAATTCGAGTAAATCCAGAAGTAACAGTTTAAGAAAATTGTCCCTGAAAATGGTTACGAAAAGTTTAAGCAGTAGAAGTATCAAAGTAAATACGCGAATTCTCTTAAAAGTACTTTGACTTAGATCTTTTCTGTAAGTTTCATTATATTTTATATAAAATATTTTATAGCCAAAAACGTTGGAGAGTACTAATGATAAAGAGCTAGTAAAAATAATAAAGTATACAGAAAACCCACATGAAGCGATTAAAAATGACATTGATTCTATTAAAACTTCAATGATAACTGAATATGATTAGTATCAAAAGGATAAAAACAACTATTTAAGTGCATCAAGATCTAATAGCAAACTTCTAACTGGTCTGAATACTGGAACAATGCATCAAGTAATAGATAGCTATCTTGATAAAATAAGAGGGAAGACTTTGTCAAGATGCCAGAGCTCACGATAAAATACATTTGGCCCAAACATTTATACCTATTAAGTCGGCACTCAACTCCACTAAGGCCGTACTACTAATTTCAATGCTCATGAAAAGGGTAGAAACTTTATGCAGTCTAGATTGATGAAAAGAGATTCTTGCGACAAACTTGGACAATTCAAAGGATTTGCAAAGACAAATCATAATTTTGACTTTACCAAATACTCTGAAAGGTAAACATTTCATTTTTTTATGCTTGATTAGAGATAAGTAGAGCTATCTAAAGGTATTAGCTGTGCAGCTTAAAGAATAAAGATAATAGAAAATGGAAAGAAAGATGAATGTTATGATTAAGATGGAATTGAACCCTTCAAAATAAGAAGATACCATAGATCTAGCACATCAAGAAGTAGTTTAATATGAAATTGCAAAAGATAATGAAGTTATTGAAGAAAAAAAGGTAAAAAAGCGCAAGCGGGTTCATAGTAGAGATAATAAAAACAACCTTGATCTCCAAAATGCTCCTAAAATATCAATGGAGGAAAGAGAAGATGTAGCCAGGTTAATTCATAATAGCTAAAAGATAACTGATCTTCAGAAAACTTTGTAAAACACACTTTTACATTTGGACGAGGAAAAGATGACTAATACCATGTCATAGACTAAGGAATAGTTGACTTACATAAAAAAAGAAAAAGAAAAATTTATTCTGAAATTAGCCGAAAAGAAAAATCAAAACTTGTGATTATCT